CTCGATTTCCTCAAGTTCTCTATTGGCTTCATCCAATTCTCTTTCAAGATCTTGAATCTTTTTAGATTTTCTTTCGTGATCATCCTCCAGTCTAACAACTATATCACTCATCTCTCTCATCTCATTCTGCAACGCATTGAAGTTCTCTTTCTCATCAGCGACCTCAGCCGAAAGACGTTCAATCTCAGCGTTAGCTTCCTCTTGTTCTGCAGCAAAGCCATCAAGTTCTTCTTGAGCTTCTTTACGTAAAGATTCAAACATTAGCTCGGCTTCTTCTTGACCCTGAAGTGCTTCATCTCGGTCTGCTTGCATTGTGAGTAGATCATTCTCGGCAACATCCAAGGCTTCTTGTAATTCTTGAGCTAGACCTTCGGCTTCCTTCTTGTGCTCCACGGCAGTCTCAAAATCTTCCATACAAGACTCGAGTTCACGTTGTAAGTCCTGATTATGTATCTTGAGGCTGTTAATTCTGTCTCGAAGTTCGGCTTGCTTGTTCTCGAAATCTTCGCGTTCAGCCTCATTCATACTCGTCTGTCTTGTACCCGCACTAGTCCTGGACGAGGATCGTTCGTGTGCTCGTGATGCTGATCGTTCAAATATGCTCTCGCCGGCCACCGATGTACCACCTCTTCTTTGGCCAAGCTTTAACTCCTCGATTTCTTGATAAAGCCGTTCTTTTTCGCGGTTTCTTGAAGTCAGCATTGATGTCTGTGCTCCGACTTCTCGTCTTAGCTCTGCATTTTCATGTCGAAGTTGTTCATTATCCCGTTTAATCTCCTCGGCTAACGTGCTTGCTGAGCTATATGTACCATTCCTATCATCTGTCATGCGATCAGACATATTGGAATTTGATCTCGAAGGTGATCCGACGCGTCTCTTTGTGATGTTGTAAATATGGGTCGTGTGACCCAATCCTTGTCCTCCGGTAGCCGTCTCTGATTTCAGTCGGAAAATCTCTTCCCGAAGAGCCTTTATCTCATCATCACTTTGCTCTCTGCGGGCAGTTTCTTGCTCAAGGAGATCTTTCCAGACATCCATTTCTTCACGTGTTTCAATATCTTGACCTCGCCTTTCACCCATTGTACGAACCAAATCGGTAAGATTTCTCTTCTCGTTTTCCCGAGCAAGACTCTCATTCCTTAACCTCTCAATTTCCGTCACATATTCTTCAACCTTCTCTCGTAAGTAAAGAAGCTCCTCCTCCCGTTCAAAAGCGCCTTCTTGATACCACTTCTGACTTCCTTCTGTAGATGTACCTGATCGAGCTGTGGATGGTCGGTCTTCGTCATCTTTGAGTTGTTTCTCAAGGTCTTTTACCTTTTTACGAAGAGCTTTGTTATCTCTTTGCATGACGGCTAGACCTGTCTTGAGCTCAACATTCTCAGATATCATTTCCTTAACACCTTCCTCAGAAAGCTTGTCTAATCGATCACTGAGAAACATAACTTTCAATTTCAAGTCAAAATTCTCCTTAGATAGTCTTTCGATCGTGCTGCTCTGTTCCTTCAAAGTCAGATTTTTACCAGTTCTTTGGCCCAGAGCGGATGCTGCAAAGCTTGCCGACTTGCTGGGTGTGTGTACGCCATGCTTCGTACGAAAGTCTTTAGCCATTGATTCGGGCACTTGGACATTGCGAACGTGGCGTGCGATGATTGTATCAGTAGGTGGGTCCATGGGTCGACTAGATGCACGAGGTGTTTCTGGAGCAGAATTCGTCTGATTTTCACTCCTCCCACGGGTTGAATCTTCTTCGGCTAGTGTCGCCAATGGTCCCTCCACTCTTCCAAATGAATCTCCGCCTTCGTCAATACCAGATGCCATACTTCCCAAGCTTATAGTCCTAGATAAAGTCATACTTCCACTTCTAGATAACCCCCCGGAAGGAAGTGCGCCTCCGGATTGCAAAGCATAATCTGCACCAACTGTCACATCGCTTCGATCGTCTTGATTCTCAGAATTTGTTATGAAAGAGGACACAGAAGATCGCTGACTTGAATGTCGACTGGTGAGAAATTTGGGTCTAGTTGTATTGCGTGTTGAAAGTGCGGCGCCTGGGGTCGTACCGGCATCAACTGTTAAATGCTTGTTTGTACTCCTAGCCGGTGAGTCATGGGGTAGGCTTGAGCTATCATTCACCGATTGGACAAATGCACGTAAATTTTGGCGCGATCTTGTGGGTGTAGCTTCCATATCCTCTTCCTCATCTGATTGTTGCTGTGATTGAGAGGTGGATTGTGCTGCTGTTTCGAAATTCTCTCCCATGCTTGCCATTGACATGGCTCGAGATATGGTCCTTGCAGCGGCAGCGGCTGTTGGGGACGACGAAAGAGTTTCGAGGTTAGAAGTCGTGTTTCCAATTTGTTCCGAATCATCGTGTTCTCCTTGCACAGAATATCGAGGGGCAGGGCCTGGAGTTTTGTATGCACCATCTGGAGTGGGAGGTGAAGAGGGTGTCGGAGAACCATGGCCCCCATTTTCATTAATTCCAAATGTCTTCTTCTTAGGAGTTTGTGCTTCCATTGCGGGGGACTCTTCACCATTCCGACCCGCATCAAATAAATATGTATCATCGGCACCAGCCTTGCCATGTTTACCAATTGGTGAAACACTCGGGAGGAAACTTGATTCGACATTGTCCAAGTGTTGTTCCATTGCCTTTGCATCCACGGCACTCAGCAGACCCTCACTTCGATTATCTCCGTTGTCGCTATGTGCATAAAGTACACTGCTATCAGTGGGAGGGGACAGAGTAGGTAAATTCCTATGGTCGTAAGATTCCGTTTGACTATTCTGCTCGAAAGCTTGTGAGTTCATAGATATCGAATCGTCATTATCACTTCTATCTGCCATTAAATCGCCAATATTATGAAATGTAAAAGCTTCATTTTCCGAATCCTGTCGTGCAGTTCGTGGCCGTGAATCAGTTTCCGACATTGTTGACAAACTCGACATTGTGTAATTATCTCCCTCCGCCATCTTGCCTTGCAGATAGTTCAACGCGTCGCATTCGCTGTATATCGATTTGTACTTGGTCGCAGGTTTCGTATGCTATGCTGTATGCTGTGTTCTTTTCGTCAGGAGTAATGCGCTCGACCGTAGTGGATAAATTGAATTGGCTGAAATGATGATAGCAGCGACGAACAAGTCTAGGGAGTTGGTGAGGTAATGAGAAATTGATCGTATGGTTTGTATAGCATGTTCTCGTTGCCGCAATATTCATAGAATATCAATTAAGAGGTTTTCGATGTTCACCTTTTGCTCCGCTGTGATCTTTTCAATAATTGACGTGCATATAAAATCGTTATTCGTTGTCAACAAGAAAGTCTATCAATGCCTAGTATCGGTAAGTCTAGAAAACATTCGGTTCAATGTTACCGGGGTCAGTTTTTGTCAGGGCGACCAACAATGTTTCACACCCGTCAAAGCTGCACGGACTATCAAACATCGACCCAAACACACGCTACTGAAGGAGTCAAGCTCGCGTGGGCGAGAACTCAAAACATTTCACCCCGCCATAACGCCAACATTCTCTCTCAACACACTGCAAGGACTGGGCAGGTATCGGGTATCAATACAATTAACACAGTATTTGACAGATAAGCGACGGCTCTGGTGTTTACAGTCGTCTAGAGGTTTATGCTGTTTCGTCTGTTTGTCTGTTTGTCTGATTATACAGGTCTTGTAGTTGAGATCTGTAGTCGAGATCTGTGGTCTCCTATTCACAATGGCATCAAAGGGATACACTGGTATGGACAGTTCGTTTTTCCAACCTGAATCTTAGGATTATCACCGAGAAGGAAAGTTTTTCCTTTTGGCCTTGCACTTTACGGAGTAGTCAAGTGTGTTCTCATGGACTCATTACAATGAAGTCATCCTATCGTCTCATTCAAAATCCTACTGAATGCCTGTCTCACTTGCATGTAAGACTCTCGCTACCATCTTATCGGGACTGTTCTGTATCAGTCAAACATTTGTCTATGTTTAGAGGCTATCATTCCCCTTAAGTTCTTACTTATCATCTGTTGGAGAATATTATGCAGCTGGATATTCACACATGCCATAATCAATTTTGACACAACCAATGGCAGTTACAGCTAGCTTATCGCTCGACGCTGGGTATCGAATTAACCAGCCGTATCTCTATCCTAAAGCCCAATGGTCACAATCAGCAATCACACTCTACAATCTATTCCAAACCTCAATATAACGCAATTACAAGTGATTGATGGTATCGCAATTTCATTGCCAAAATTCTCAACTTGGGCAAAATGATAGTATCCATAACCGACACTTCTGAAGAGCTTTATCCTGTTCCACCTTCGCAAGTTCTTCAATCATTTCACTTGCAAAGTTGCTTTGTATCGTCAGACTTAACTATGGTTTAGCCAAAACTCTAGGCTCTGCCAACCATCCATGCAAAACGGTGATATGACCGCAAATTTCTGGCAAGGGCGGATCTTTGGGATCAATTATTTCCACAGTTACACTTCTGTAATGACTTCATTCACTTCGCAATTACTGTGATTCAAACTAGCACCAAGAGCTGCCATTTCAAGACCCATATAATAGATCAAGAATCTTACCATGTATTGACCCGAGCCAAATTAAATTGATGAGGGAGATGGACAAATCTTTATGCTCGTAGACAAAAAATCATCAAATGTTCATTTCATGACTGCAGAATCACAAAATCGCCTCTAAACTGCGTATTGGTCTCTTAATCATCTCTCAACTTCAAAACTTAGCAGTTATTCAGGCCCTCGTGCGGCCAGAAAGTATGCCACACTCCACTCACAGGCACAGGTGGTAAATTACAAGATGATTGGTGATGGGTATCACAAACGGTACGTGTGAGTTTTTTCAATGTGGGGTATTCCAAAGCTCAAGCTGAGCTGGCCGATTTCCTGGAGGATAAAGACTCAGCAATCGCTCTAATTCATCCTGACACACAATACACTATACTTACGGCTTCAAGTAACACGAAATTTGTATCCGGAAACATGGCTTCTCATCCTTTAAATTCCCAGGCACAATTCCCGTATTTGGAAAAAGTTTCGGAACTTGCGAAGGAAAACCCCAGGTGCATATCAACAATCGATAGAATATGATTTGCACGCAAGCTAACTTTGAATTTGCACAGATATTCCGCAATCGGCTCCGAAATTCTGACCACCGACAGTCATGCTCACGATGGTGGCTGGGCTATCATCAATGACATGAGTTCCGACGCGGGCGTCCTTCCTGAATCTAGCAAATTCACCTTCGATACTGAACATTCCAAGTCATCGTTCAATAGCAAACTCAGGAATATTCCATCTCTGAGACATACAAGAGTGATTCTTTTCCTGGCGTGTGATATTTCCATCTCCAAGCGAAATTACAGAGAATTTTACCGACCACAAATAGTCCATCCCGCCACGGCTGGGATTCTAGGAAGTTTGTATAAGGTCCTGCCCTCTTTCTTCTATCATGTACTGGATCCAATAGGGGGCTATCCAAAAGATAGGTCCTCATGGGCCGCGGGTGGGAAACTTGACGGAGTTGAACAATATTTAAAATTCGGATTTGAATATTCTACAGAGCACTCAACCCCCTGTTGCACAGTCTACTGCATTAAAAATGCGACTTTTAATACTGGTTTGTTGAAATTCCAACTAATAGTTTATGCAAAACTGACACACCATAGTGGTTATCAACTACCATAAACTTCTCTTTCGCAATGTGGATAAAGACAGAGGAATTCCTAAGACAGCCGAAGAATTTTTGCACGCAATCACTCGACTCTTGGGTGGAATGACCAACTCAGAAGTCGAATCCGTGGTGAAAAACCCTTTGGAGCTCTTGGTACCAGTAATAAAAGACATGGAGGATTATTTTTCTCGAGATGTCGAATATATGAACTGGAGTCTTCAATCATGGATCTCTGATCTCGACTATAAACTATCTGCTGTATCCCGAGCTCACCAGGACGACACTTTGTTGAAAGCATGGCATAATGGTCGCGGGTCTCTGGAAAGTTTTGAGAAGATCACTTCAAGGATCGAGGACTATCAGGATCAAATGATAGCTCAGGGTGTGATTGAGTATGGTCATAATGACAATCAAAAAATCAAGAATATGTTACGACAACATAGAAAGTCATTAAAGGAGGCATATCGATTAGAACAACATGTCCGCGACACTTTACAAATGAACGTTGGAAATCTTTCTCTGAAGGAATCCAGGAAGTCGCTGGAGAAGGCAAATTCGCTAGGGAGGCTCTCGATCCTTGCCTTCGTATTTCTCCCTTTCTCTTTGGTAACATCCTTTTTCGGTATGAACATCAGTGAGATGACTGGCAGTGGCGCTTCGTGGAAAGTTTTTCTCATAGTTGCTGCTATTCTATGTAGTCTGGGAGTTGTTTTCTTCCTTTGGATATTCAGGAAATCTCCAAGGGTCATGAGATTTCTTTCTGCCTGCTCTTATCCACGCATTTGGGTTCTCCACCGGGTCAATAAGAAGACATTCAATCATATCGGTTTGCGGCTTTGGTGTGCTGATTACATTGCTAGATCATAGTCAATGGGACAGGTTTTTATTTGGCACAAATTCGACGAGCGATGGCTCACAATGTTTTTTATTCTTTTCTTCACTCCAACAACTAAGAAATATCGCACTACACAGTTATTAGCACAATTTCAAAGAATATTAAGACTCTCCAGTGTCCACAAGAACAGGAGGTGATATCGCGACTGCCGTTGGTATTTTGTTCCTGACTGGGGTAATTTCTCGAGTATTTGAACAGATTTACCATGTAATTCTTGCTCTCAACTCAATACATCGTTACGAATATTGAACCAATTTATTCAAGCTTCATATACTCTAGATACGACCTTCGAGCATCTTGGAAGAGGGGAACTCTTTTTCTCGCGATGAACCGGACAACACTTATTCATTTGTGAAGGACCTCATTTTCGCACGTCTTTGACCTGATCATGACTTGATTGTCTCACAATAATTGTCAATACTTCTTGGCTTGGAGTATTCTCAGCTCCGCATTAATGATGCACTTTTAACAAATGATCATCGCAACACCCAAAAGAACAATCATATACTTGTGCACAGCAATATAGAGTCACCTATATCTCCAACAACTCAATTTGTTTTCCTGTATTTGCAACCACAATTCTAAAGCCATTCTCGCGCCGCCATTCCATCGGTTCAAGACTCCCACGACACGTACAAGAAACCTCTACTCTCGAACTACCAAAACATCCTCCATTTATCACCCTTCTAATTTTCGCATCCGCATCTGCATTTTCCCGTCCATCATCTCCTTGATAGGGATATGAAAAAGATGATGTACTCACATCTTCACCCCACGATGTACTGCACCTTTCCCACACATTCCCCACCATATAGAAACATCCGAATGGAGAAACATTCTTAGGGAATAAACCAACGGAACATCGCTCGGTGAATGGTAACCCTTTGAAATTAACATAACCCGCGCTCCATTCTGTGCCCCATGGATACAATGATTCTATTTCATTGCCAGATACCTGAGAACCTCGAGCAGCAATTTCCCATTCCGGCTCAGTGGGTAAACGGACTTCCTCATCGAGAGCAATCTTCCCGGATGCTTGCCAGCGTGCTGTTAACCAGGTACAATACGCGCGCGCATCGTACCAGGTGAGATCTGTAGCCGGGAAATTATCTTTAGAGGGGGGTAAACCATCAGGACTATTCCTTTTCCGTCCTGTTTCTTTGATAAAAATCGCATATTCTCGATTCACAACTGGGAAGACGCCGATACGGTACGAGGAAATGGTGATAGAACGGGGAGGTGATGAATTTGGGTGGGTGGAAGAACCGATTGTGAATGTGTTGGAAGGAACGGTAGTGAGTGATGTTAGATCTCGAGGATCTCCAAGTAGAGAAATTGTACGGCCGGCTTTTAGTCTTTGGGTGATGGGTAATGTGCCTTCTTTGATGATCGCTAGTATGTGATTGGAAACTCGTTGATGCAGTGGACTGGACGAAGAGATGAAATCTGAAACTAATAGCGCGCCTAGTTGTGCATTTACCCCAGAACCTGCAACCAGTCCTTCAAGAGATTTAAGTAGCTCTGGGCTTCCTATATCTCTAAGGCGTACTAACCAACTACGAATAATCGGTTCTGGCAAGCAAGGATTTTGATTAAATAGATCAATAGCTACTTGCGTGTCATCTTCAACAAGCTGGCGCGCAGCTAATAAGTGTTGTATTGCTTTCGAGAAGACCGCTGGATTCCTGATCGTCAATCTACACGAAAATGGAGTTGGAATGTCCTGCTCCGCTTCCTGGGTTGAATGATCCAATGCCTCTCGTGTGATTCTTCTATCATTATAGTTTTCAGAAAGCACAACGTGGAGCCACTCATCCAATAAATCCTCTGCCTTTCCTCCATGATGAGCGGTCTCTAACGCAAGCGCAAAATATGCTGGGAGACTTGCCGCGTCACCGATTCCGATCTCGATGTCTTTGTATTCGATATTGGAGCCAGTTATATTGCGCAAGAACATGCGTCTCTTGACTTGGGAAAGTGGTAGTATATGGTGTCTTGTTATTTCGGAACCTAAAATCCAATTCTTCACGACGCTGCTTTCTCCGAGAAGGAGTAGTTTTTTTATGATGCTTGTTCGTGATTCTGGGTTAGATGGACCATAGATTTTAAAAGTTGTGGCCCTTCTTCTCCAAGAGACTCGATAGAATCAAGAATGATCAATAGACACGCTGGCTTGCTACTATCCCTGCAGCTCTCAATAAGTTGAGGCAGCGTTTCCAGAAGCAATATCGAGAATTGAGAGACGCTAGAGATGGGAAAATAGCAGGGTATCGTATCGGTACCTTCAAAATCCCAAGACTCGTTCCGAACATGAGTTGGCCCATTTCTCACATAAGAACCACCTCCAATTGATTTCGTAGTGGTAGTCGCTAGGCGAAAAGCAAGATGTTTTGCGAAAGTCGTTTTGCCGCTCCCACTGGGCCCGGTGAGTAGCAGGAACTGATTATCACGTACGAGTTCGAGTGTTGAGAAGTAAATTGGAGAATCTTTTTCGACATCTTTATTTTCTTTTCGAAATTCTTTTCTAGATTCGTCTTCCAATGTATAGTTTGTGAGAAGAGGGATATATCCAGTCGAGAGAGGGATAGTATCACCTGACGGAGAAACTAAGAGGGGTGAAGACCCGAATGTTGATGCTGTGGCGATGTCTTCTCCTAGATTACTCATTTTGTGCGTGTTCTCGATATTTAAAGCATTGATACTGCCAGGAGACTTGTACAGCAAACAATTTATAACACCTACTAGATCCCATCGTAAATATATCCAAATTCGAAGTCGGGCGATGCGATTTATGTATCATGACAACGGCGCGTGACCAGTTGAAAGGCTCATAACCTATCGACTAAATAAGGCAAAGAACAATCTTACTATGCCTCCGGGTGATGGGGTAGCCTGAAAATATATGTAGCATGGGCTGTTTGGCACTGGGATTGTCATTGTAAGCAACGAAGAGTGGGATTCAGCCTCACATAAGCGTAGTTGGCCCATGAAGTTAATGCCAGTCACGCAGAACTTACCCCTCCAAGCTCCCCTAACCTTCTTGATAATATACTTAACGAGCCGGACAAGAAGCTAGTATTTATCATACTTGAATTATTTACCGATCGCGTGGAAAAGCAATAGCTGCATTGTCTATCATTGGAAAGAGGGATTCCGGGGGCGGATCAATGAATGGAACTGGGGAAACAATTTTACAAGAATGGATTACTGGTGCATGATGGCCATGAGAATGGAAATTTCTGACTTCAGATCCCATCTCATCGCTATGCATCAATCAAATATTCCATTGATCACTTTGATCTTCACGAAGAAGTGGGACATTGTTGTGTGATATCAATTCATTAAATCTCGTAATGACCCATAACCCATTCCATTCCATTCCATCCCAAACCCCATCCAATCATAACTATGGTATAACATCAATCCGCCCTAGCCTCCCATCATGCATCATGAACATCGTAATCTAGTTGGAGAACTTGGGGTTGACTTGGGATCTACATGCGGGGTAATGTTAGTGAAATTCATAGCATATGGAATGGGTTGCAAGAATAGGGGAGATGAAAGAACGTACCCAGTCTGCTTCTCATACAACCCTCTAGCACCGTCGGTGATCTTCTCATTCTGATCGCGGGTCATAGTGTGACCGGTCTTCTTCTCGATGAAGTCGAGAGCTGAGTACATTGTTAATATGATATTCGCAGATTATCGATTGTAGACTGCCAACTGCGAAGTACGTCGAAAGTATGGGGAGAGAGGGGGGGAGAGGGGCAAACAAACCCTTATCACCATAATCCTCCTTTCCGGCACCACCAGCAGCTTGGTTGGTGTTACCAGTGCTTCCTGAGCTTCCTGATCCACTCTTGAGGGCACCTTTGACGAAATCCATTGCGATGAAGTTGATTTGGGTGTTTGGGTGTTTGAAAAGTTGTGTAGTTGCTTGAGTGTTGATTGAGTGTGAAGTTGTTGGTGTTGATGAATAGAAGTCAAGCCAAGTCGTAAATGAGGGGACTTATATACCCTTCCGTATACTAAAAACGCCATCATTTACTAGCGCATCAACGGCTTATATGCCTTGGTTCTTTCCGTTCTTTGAACTGAAGCTTGGTTTCGCCGTTTCGTCGCTGCTGAGCATATTTACGAATCCGGTTTAGAGGGGTAACATGGGGCTGGATGGAACGTTCTGGTTGGATGATTTCATTAAGGGTTAATTGTGCATGTGGGGTGGAAGTGGTGACGTACGCCAAGACATTACGCTCATCTACGGAGGGGACAAGACTTCGGCACGTTCCTGATTAATAAGCCCATTTCCTTTCAAGGCCGAAAGTTGAAACCTTAACATTGCCTTGGTGTAGAATAAAGCATTAGTATATTCACTTCTGATCGAGGTAATGACCTAAGTGCTTCTATTGCTTCGCCTCACCAGTTCCCTTTCAAAAGAGGTCATCACCAATATTCGAAGAGTTGCTGAGATTGTGGCTAGGATTATTGCAACGGCGATCACCAGATCGATTCTAGACCAGAAGTTAAAGATATCCGATCTGCTGTCTCTACCTACACCAATACCTGTAAGACGATGGCAGATTCATGAGAAAGAAGCCCTTATTGCTTATTTAACCTTCAGCCGCCTTCCTAGCTTGCGGATTTTCTACTTCAAAGACTTCGAATTCGCTACTTCAGGCACTATGAACTCGTCTCGACCCATATTCGACTCAACAGATGCAACTTGCAACGCTTGAAGCCGATCTTCAACTTCCCTAGAGAGTTTTGAGAGAGGCCCTTGGACAATAGTGTATCTAGATAATGCTCGATTATACATCTCCCTTGCTACGTCTTTCCGGTCAGTCTGCGAGAAGAGGTCTCCAAAGACAAACATAGTGTTCAATGCCGGTAGATAAGATAAGACGAGTACAGGGCCAAGAGCGTTCTCATAACCTTCCAGCGCTCGAAGATACATCTTCTCTGCCTCTGCTAGCTTGCCTTGGCTAGAATAGAGATTGCCTAGATTGTTGACTGTATTGAGTGTTGATATATGGTTTGGTCCAAGTATCTTCTCCCTGCCTTTCAGTGCTCGAAGAGACATTATCTCCGCCTGTGCTAGCTTGCCTTGGTTATAGTAGAGAACGCCTAGATTGTGAACTATACCGAGTGTTGATGTATGGTCTGGTCCCAATGCTTTCTCAGCGCTCGAAGCCACCTCTTCTCTGCCTCTGTTAGCTTACCTTGGTCATAGTAGAGGGCGCCTAGATTGTGAACTGTATCGAGTGTTGATGGATAATTTGATCCGAGCGCTTTTTCATGGCCTTCCGACGCTCAAAGATACATCGTCTCTGTCTTTGCTAGATTGTCTTGGTTAGAGTAAAGAACACCCAATTTAAAGATGGTCGAAATCGCCGAAAAAGGAACTACCTACTTTCGCATAGATCACTTTTTTTCCCAGAGAACATCGGAAAGCGGGACTGCCCGGCAAACCGACATCCAGCCACAAACGCTGCTGTGGCAGGCCGAGAGGTTCTCCTCGCCCGAACCCAGATTTTAATGAATGGGTTCGTTAGTAGCATTACAAGTCTATGTACAAACTTAGGAACGTCGCTTTGAATTAGAAAATATTGAAATGAAAAGTTTAAAATTTTGACTGACATCGGAAAGATTTTTGTAAATGTATCCTGTGACCTCTGTGAGATTTAGACATGGCGAATTTGATCCATCTCGAAAAGCTTTTGTCGTGATGTGAGATTCACCGAGTCAAATGATTAGGTTCGACTCACAAAAGAAGGGCGGAATAGGATCATGAGAATACAAAGTTTTCCATGGTAATTGTCAACTCAGCTGTGCTTCTGGTACCAATGAATCTGTCATCACTACTATTGATCCATCTACATGCCACGATATTCCACTATAGAACTACCGCAACCCATTGTTAACCCATCCATTGATTACTGTCTATCATCACCAACATGCCTGCTATCAACTCAATGTCGGCTCTTACTCGCAGTGATAAACAAAAGTCCGTCAGTCAATCTACGTCTCGTATTATATCCTCACAATGCATCATCTCCATCTTGCCTTATTAGCTGCATCATACGCATGCTGATTGTGATTCGTCCACTCGTGTAAAATCCCACTCCCTGTAAATATGTCTTCCTCCGAGACCTTTCGCCCAGTAAATTCCACAGTTCCTGGATCCCCATCGTGTGTGCCCCAGACACCGTTGACTCTTTTACCGCCGCACGAGAATGTCATTGTGTAAGAACGTGAATCAGAGCCGAGTTGAATGATGTCCTGACAATCTTTGCCTCTCCATCGATAGAGTCTTGTATTATCCGCAGTCCATGGATCGAATTGCTGATTGAGAAGATACTCGTTTCGATCGGCAGAGTTGCGTCCACGAGCAAACCGGATTATACCCTTGAATTCCCCAAGGTTGAAACGGCCGAAGACTTGCCGGGCTTGTCCGCGTGGTGCAGAGAAGATGTCAAAGGTGTATGGTTCCGATTGACCGTAGTTTGAAGACATAGTTTTGCATTCCAATTCCCAGTGTCCGGTGATATCCCATGGTCCATCGTTAAGTTCCTCGTCGGAATCATCAACATCGTTGTCGTATTCTTCAGAATCTTTATCTGCCTCGGCACCATCTTCTCCCTCGTCATCTTCTCCCTCGTCATCTTCTCCCTCCTCATCTTCTCCCTCGTCATCTTCTCCCTCCTCATCTTCTCCCTCGCCATTGTCTTCTTCCTCATTGTCTTCCAAAGGTTCTTCATCAGAATCCTCATCTTCTTCCCGGTCACCCTCTTCCACGTGTCGAGCCTGTCGAGCTTGGTGTTCTGGCTCCTCATTTTCACGATCCTTCTTGCGATAGGCCCTCATCATTTTCTGAATGCCTTGCTTGACCATGGTATCCGGTTGAACGGTATTAGAATTAACCAGACGTTGCTTGAGAGCCTTGATATCGTTTCCTCTTGGTGAAAAGCCTCGAAATGCGAGTTGAGCCTTCCAGAACTCAACAGGTCTGTTACGATTGTCATCGCCAAGACATAGCTCTATGAACTTGTGTCCAAAATACGTAACGTTCTCGCCGTCATAGAGGTATTCGAGGTTATTAATGGTTGTTTTAAGAACTTTCCGACCCTCTGGGTCATGCCTTGCCTCCATGTTGATTTGGGGGTGAGTATCAAAATGCACGCTGATGGTGCTCGAAAGAATGTTTTCCGGGATGCTCGAAGAGTACAAGAGCGTAGGCGTCCTCAGATTCTCGGAGATTTTATGTTTTTAGCTACCGTAATAATTCGATAGATTTTGTGAATACCCGTAATTCACCGTCAACGAAGTGTACGAACCAGCAAAGTATTATGGTTCATGGTTTTATGAGGGCGATGTAGTGCTTTCCACCAAGAGACCAGACAAGGAATTGAGGTCGAAAGCCCTTCAAAAAAGAGTGAACTATTCGATTTGAGAATATCTTCAAGGTTCCCCTCCGAGTTTGGAGATTCTTCTGGTCCCCGTGCCAGTACCAACAGTTCCATTTCCTTGAATGGGTGGCTTTAAGGTAGAAAGCTCGACTTCCATTTCTGTTATATGCTTTGAACGATGGAATAATTCTCGGGTTCCTTTAATCTTTCCTTGCAATCCTTTAAGTATAAAAGTAAAGACATGGTAGTCTGAATAAAGCATCTTCAATTACCTACTCTTTGGATGTGAATATTCGATGTGCTTTGCTTTGGATTGATTCAATGGATGACAGTGCTGTTATCTTAAAGCCGAAAGGAAGAGTAGCCAACACATGATCTTGGCGCTAAACCTCAATAGACGTTCCCCTCCAAATTCCCCTCATTCATGTGAAAATCATAAACGGAATTCAATAACTTAACCTCTTTGAACCCTCCTCTTCACGTTGAGTGAGGAATGATTTATGAGAAGAGTTTAGATCTCTTGTTTCTCATCGTGAATAAACATTCCTACAATCGATCATCTGAATCATGTTCTTCTTGGAACTCTCGGACCCATTTTCGAGTCAAACCAAGTCATCGCCATGAGATTCATCTTATCCAAATTCAATCAAATGAGTACCGATCAACATCACCACAACGTCAATGTCACCATGCCATTACATTCAAATCATCAAAAGCGTCAAAGTTGCTCGTTTCCGTGTTACTCCGAACGTTTCTTGACACCTTTACAAATACTTTCCTCATTGGTGCCCCTAATCTTTTCGATTTATCATGGGATCTGTCTCATCTCGTGTATATTATCACTTAGGGGAAACTGTGGAAAGGAACTTCCTTTAAGTGTTAGACGCGATTGTGCACTCGCGAATACCTGCGCTTAGGGGTCAAATTTGGAAAATTTGGGTGAGAGAAGTGTTAGAGAGTCCCGTAAGCTAATCTTGGAAGAGCCCACCGATTACTTTATGAAAAGAGGTAGAAGCGGTTGGAGAGAAATTTCTTTTTCTACAAATACCTCAACGTTTCCTTTTCTCTTTCTGTTCTCTTTCTATTGCATTTTAAATTCTCAAATTCTTAAATTCCATCTCTCGATTCACCCCCAAAAAGTGGTTAATACACATCTACCCCAAAAAGGTCCTATCACTACCTCCCCACCACTAACACTCCGCTATCGATAACTATCAAGAAACTTGAATCAACTAATTCGTACAAAACTAATAAACCAACAATAACCTCATCTTATTGTACATTACAACAAATCCCGTCAAAATGACTACCACATCAATGGTTCAACCAAAGTTCTTATCAAAGGCCGATCAACTTGGTGTCGTCGCTGTTGGATTCTCAGGTGGACAAGTAAGTTGCCCTCCCCTCTCTCTTCTGCTCCCTCTCAGAGCCACCAACTAATCTAATCAACACAGTGTAAACCGGGAGTTGATGCCGCACCCTCAGCACTTATCAAAAGTGGTCTTCTGGATCAACTCGAAGAGGAATTAGGATACAAACTTCACCATGATAACACTGTTCATTCTTACAAAGAGTTGATTCCTACCGAGGATCCAGATCACCGAAACATGAAGAACCCTCGCGGAGTCTCTGCAGTCACACAAAAGCTTTCTGAACAAGTTTACGAACATGCCAAGGAGGGTCGTTGTGTCTTGACTCTCGGTGGTGATCATTCTATTGCCATTGGCTCAGTATCCGGAACTGCGAAAGCAATTCGTGAACGTTTAGGAAGAGAAATGGCCTTGATCTGGGTTGACGCACATGCCGATATCAATACCCCAGAAACTTCGGGTTCTGGAAATGTTCACGGTATGCCCGTTGCATTCTTGACACGTCTCGCACGAGAAGAGAAGCCAGAGATCTTTGGGTGGTTGAAGGATGAGCATATGGTCAGCGTAAAGAAGATTGTTTACATCGGCTTGAGAGATGTTGATAGAGGAGAGAAGAAGATCCTCCGTGATAATGGAATTAAGGCATTCAGTATGCATGACATTGATAGGTTTGTGTTCCCGTCGCACTAATTCACTCTGTACGCGTTCACTAATATTCTATCACAGACATGGTATTGGCAGAGTTATGGAAATGGCACTCGGTCACATCGGCAACGATACCCCAATCCATCTCTCCTTCGATGTCGACGCTCTTGATCCTACATACGCTCCCTCAACTGGTACACCAGTTCGTGGAGGTTTGACCTTGCGAGAAGGCGATTATATTGCTGAATGTGTTCACGAGACTGGTTCTTTGATCGCTATGGATTTGGTGGAAGTCAACCCTACACTTGAACCTGGTGTCAATGATATTGGAGCACATGAAACTGTTAGAGCTGGATGCTCTTTGGTTAGATGTGCTTTGGGTGAGAGCTTGCTTTAAGTTGGTGTTTCGGATACTGGGAATGGATACTTGAAGAGACATTTGAAAGAATATACCCTTAGATCGAGGTTGACTATTTATACATTTGGTATTGGATTCCTTGGGTGGCCCTGAGATAATGGGACTTGATCTTTCATTTACGGTAATACTTCGCAACTCAGAAGGATAGAGGGGCAGGTGGATCACTTTACTTTCACATGCTTAAGAAGTCAAGATAGATGTACAAATCATCGACGAAATCAATACAAAAACATTTCAAAATTTCCCCGCTCTTGATTAGTTCACCGCCGATGATAAAACTCATTGTCGTCACCGATACAACTGCTACTAAAAATATAATCAATTCTCCGATCTCCAAGTCCCGAATCTCCAATGTTTTCCATACCGAGTACCCAAGTACTACCAGCCTCATAATTATTTTCTTAGGCTTTAGTGATGCGCTGTGCCTTGCACTTCATCCCAGCTTCCCAACCCCCCGCCAATACTAAGCGCCCAATTAACCTTACATTATTCACACCGCGAAAATGGGTGGTGTATTAATGCGCGTCGATATTCTAGTTTTTTTCTTCTTTTCTCTGAGCTTTTTCTTGCATTTCTCTATCATACATACTTCGAAAGTCATCATCTAAAGTTTCGCGACGATATCAATCAATCAAACTATCTCGGTACCAGCAAATATAGTAAGACAGGTACCAGCGGAAGATTTCTGAGCTGCACGTCCCCTTGGTTCGAGTACCTTGCAAGGTGCACTGATTTTCGAGTCTGAGTGGAACATAAACCGAATAAATTGAACGACAACACAACATTCATTCACCGGTATTATAACATACGAGGGGGATTGACGTGGACGAGCTTGGACGAGTTATCATACGAGATTTGTTCTCGAGACTGAGATTGGGTGTGGATATTTCTTTCGTGAGAGGGAAAGGAAAGGATATAAATAGGAAAGAGTCCTGGAATCGCAAGTTTTTGATAACGGTCGAGAACGAAAAGAAGGAATTCTTTGGAGAAGACACAATTGCGACTTCAAACTTGTGGATTGGATTCGCATAAAATTCAGAAACCAACTAGACGATAATCGAAGTACAAACAGAGAGTTACCAAAAGAGTGCTGGGAAATAGAAGAACTCGATTTGGCATAACTTTCTTCGACATAACCAATACTACCAACTAAACACCGCAAAAATGGTCTCAACACTCTCCTCATCCTCAAGCGGCATCCGCGATCGCTCCACCGTCCTCCTGACCCGCACTCGCACAAAATACCGCTGGCCGCCTCTTCAATTGAACTTCTGGATCCTCATGATGCTAATCGCTTCCTGCACCATCCTCGGTATCTCCGCCTACTTTGTCGCTGTCCAAAATCAGCTACATCTCCATGTCCCCTGGTATTTCTCATACTGGGTCGTCTCTGCTTCCCTCGGTGTCGTATTTCTACTTATTATGCTCTGGCTCATCTCGCAGCGTCAATTGCTTCCCGGTATCGTTATATTAGGGACTTTTATACTCTTTGTATTATGGCTAGTAGGATTGATTGTGTGGAGTATTGAACTCTGGGGTCCAACGGGAAACGTAAATGGAAACTGCAATTTGTATGTTACTGCAAATCCGCAGAGTGGCCCTTACTCGTCGACTTTGGCGTGGTTGATGCAGCACTCAATTTGTCAGAGCTGGATTGCGGCGTGGGCGTTTATGTTGATTGGGGTTGTCTTTTTGTTCTGGATGATGATTATGAGTTATCAGGTTTACAGAATGGATGATTAGGGGAGAGGCATGAAAGAGTTCGGGGTGCGAAGAATGATTTGTGATGATATCATGAGATGGAAACAGGGATGGGGAATCGGTGTGGGAAAATAGGTTATAGGGAACAAATATGTAGGATGGATCTACAAATGGGGGTTATTATACGACCAAGGGTACTAGCAGCTACATGCTAGATGGATGAGTTACGAGTGATGCATGGACACGGCGTTTCGGGAAATCGGGAGGAAGGAATCATCATTATCCTTATCAAATCCCATACTTTTCATTTTTATATGTAATGTACAAGTTGTGCATATGGGCTAAATTGGTGAAGCGAAATCATCTCAATAGGGGAAGTGGTAGCTTTGTCGCAAATCTCCTCGGCTAATTATAGTTGTTTTTCAAATTCCAGTTCTACATATTTGAAATAATGATTGTGTTGTTTTTCAATTAATGTTTCTCATCGTTCACTGGAACATCGAAACCTCGTGTCGTTTTGGGACCGGTTACGAATGTTAATTTATGTCTACATGCGAGACTACTGCATCATTAATACAGGTATGCTTTTCATCCACTCTACGCCGAGTCTAATTCATGTGATCATCGATCAAGATACTATATTTCAACTTTTCAACATGCTGGTCTATAGATAGTTTGACCAGGAAGTGGTATTGAAGTTAGTGGGAGGTAGAGTCATGATATAGAATGAGTGCTTCTAGAAGGGATATGCAATACACTAGCAGGAAAATATGTGATATCATCATCGAATGGTTGTGACATGAAGATAAATAAGCTGACTGCACTTTCGTATAAGAATTCCGCATTTAAAGCACTGTGTCCGAAAGGTAAGCTGTAGGCCAGCGGAACAAGAGAGGGATAACTATGTGTCTCTATCGTGCGGCAATGTAGATAGATCTGAGAATGGAGAGAATAGGTTGTCATGGTATCTCAGTAAATATTTGGAAGCCCCTTTTTCAATAACTTGGATTCAGAGAACAAGACCAGTAGTAACATTTTTGTTTCAATTGACGCTAACAAGGCAAAGAAGTCCATGGCAACCGCGATTTCAGTATTTTCCAGGAACTGTCATAGCCAAACGATCTAATACATATTTCCCCGCAGTAATAGGAGGATATTTGGAAGGATTCTCCTCACTTACACAAGACGGTAACGTCTCAACTATCTCATCATAATTAATCGAGAAAAATAGGGGTACCGAGTATCGCGTTTTTGCAGTCCTGTTAACAACCCTATGAATAGTACTTCTATAGAGTCCGTTTGTCCATCGCATCAAGAAATCACCAACATTGACTACGATTCCTCCTTCAACGGGCTCGGCAGCGACCCATTTCCCGTCCGGACTAAGAACCTCTAGACCGGGAGTTGAGTCTTGGAGGAGGAGAGTGAAACATTCGTAGTCTGAGTGAGCACCAAGACCAACTTCCTCTTCTTCGTTCGAGGTTGAAAGAGGTTTGGGGTTCGAATTTGGCTTGTACTTTATCAGTCGTGCAATTCCTCCGGGATGTGTGACTAGCGGATCAAAGTAATCTTCTGGAAGAGATAGAGACAAGGCAAATAGGCGGAATAGGTGTTTGCACAATTCCAAGATCTGTGAGACAGAATTAGACACATGAAAAATAAATCTTCGACAAGTCAGCGTACCCTTCCGTAATAGTCTGCAATGCCTTGATAGAAACCAGGAATTTCAGATTCATTAGGCCATTGATTTTTACCACCAGCAGTCGTACCATCAAGCTCGACGTATTTTCCGTCTCCACCTGTAGGATCCAAACCATACTCATAACCCCAATTGAAAGCCTCTTTTGTTTCTTTGGTTTGAAAATCATTCACAGATGAGTAACTAGCCGGTTCATATCCTCTGAATTGATCTGAATTCTTCATGTGAATTGCGTCCTTGGAGGATTGAGGTAGTTCACTGAAGAAACGTTCGCAAAGCTTGAATACTTCATCGCAAACATGCTGTGGGATTCCATGGCCTGTGATGTAGAAAAATCCAACATTCGCACATGCTTCGTTGATTTTCTTCGCAACCCCTTGACGGTCGGCTAAAGATGATGAGAATGAAGGGGTCAGATCGATAATTGGAAGTGATCGAAATGAAGAAGGGCCAGAGGTGTCCGCAAGACGAGATTGGAGATAATCTTGTATTTCCTGCGCAGCACGACGTGTGTTTTCAGTGGCAATATCTGCCGTTTGTACAGTAGTTGCAGCCATAGTATTGGAAATTCAATTGTCGCAATTGTTGATCTGGTTGGAGATGGGTTGCGCATAGTATTTCTACGACGACAAAGGTGGGGTACATCGTTATCGTATCCTTATCGAGAAGGTCATACAGGTTGTGACAAACAGGAACTGAACGACGGCAGGCACCGCTGCTTAGATTTTGTTCATGGTGGTTTCAGTCGCCAGGTCCAGGACGCAAAATAGCGACATTAATAAGAGTCAATATCTAGAAACTAATCAGGAACAAATACTTGCTGAAGGAATACCAGAATTCATCATATAGTTCGGTGAGGATGGAGAAGGTGTATGATAATGTGATAATGTTGAAGATGTGCAAAGCTAAAATTTCGGTAGCACAAGCAATTAGAGTTCCTTAGCCAGGGGTTTCATTATTAATAGTATCATTTTGTCCTTAGAGATCACTAGCTAACACCAACGCAAGAGGGCTGACCTACAAACTCAAATACAAATTCAAAGACTCCCCGAAACCCAATCAATGCACAAAGCATACACACATTTCGTGCCAAGGCCATTACCCTCTCGAAGTCTACAGATCTTGAAGATCAGAAGTCCAGTCCTCCCTCAAATTTCCCTTATTCGAACCATTACCCACTCTCAAACCACAGTCAAGCAAGCTCATTAATCATGCAAAAGGAAGTTCCTTCGGTACCCCGTAATCGTCACAACTTGAGAACCTCCAGGCTCCCTTCAACTTCGGAATGTATATCCACCTAAATATCAATCCCACAAACCATGGAAAGGGAGGGAATCTCGGTCCATGAATACCAGACTCATAAGTCACATCTGAATTCGTGATCAAGAACGGGACATCCCTCGTCTATCGATAAATTAGCCAAGTTTGAATTTCATGACCGAAGTTGAGGAATCATACTTTATCAGCATTTTTCTTCGAATGTTGAGCCATCGCCTTTCCACATTCTTCCCAATTGATCGACTCATCCTTTTCCAGGCCCACTAGAACGCCAATTTCATGATGTAAATGGCTCTCCAAA